TTGTGAAACAAGGTACCCGCACTCCAAGAAATCAACAAACCCCTCAGCAAACAAAGAAGCAGACACCTAGGCTCCGAAATAATCAGTCTGAGCAGAACAGCTTTGATTTATATGCTGAAGAGGAGACAGAAGGTGGGCCTAGCACGCGCCTTAGAAAAAGAGCTCCTAAGCCCTCGAAAGTCCCTGGAACCAAACCAAAAGAGCAGCAACAGACTGCTAGGAAAAAGGCAAAGAATGCTTCAGCCGGGAAAGCTCAGGGTGGCCGAAATGAAACAAAATTGAAGGAAGAGGATGCAGAATTCGTATGTGATTTTGAAGGCTGTACCATGAGTTTTGCCTCAAGACATGATCTTTCCCTCCACAAAAGAAACATATGTCCAGTCAAGGGGTGTGGAAAGAAATTCTTCTCGCACAAGTATCTGGTACAGCATCGTCGTGTTCACACAGATGATCGCCCCCTTCGATGCCCTTGGAAGGGCTGCAAGATGACATTCAAGTGGGCATGGGCTCGCACTGAGCACATTAGGGTTCACACAGGTGCTCGTCCGTATGTATGCGCTGAGCCAGGGTGTGCACAGACCTTTCGATTTGTGTCAGATTTCAGCCGTCACAAGCGCAAGACCGGGCATTCGGTGAAGAAGAGTAAGAAGTGACTTGATAATGGAAAACAGATGCAATCATGTATCTTGACTAATGAATCTGTTGTTCCACTTTCAATTCATAAATTAGGAGAGAAGGGGAGGGCTAGGGTTTCCCCTGTAATTGCAATTCAGAGTAACCATTGATTCTGATTTCCCTTGGGCCTTCATTTGGCCCATCCATTTATCTCAACAAAGAGCAATTCCTCGGATATTAAGCACATTTTCTCTGAGGAGGATCACATGCTAATCCTGTTTTAATTGAAATTTCAGATGCTAATCTCATTCATTTGGATCTTGTTAGACTCGCCTTTTTGCAGTTACCGCCCATGAATAACATGTTCGGTAACATGTTCGGTATGTTAATGCCTACCTTGTTTCCGAATAATCTAACATGTTATGTTATTAGACTAGCTCGATGTAAATCATTGGCACCCTGAGCTCAAAAATCGGTGATGTTTCTGAATATTTCATGTTTTCCAATATATGTATACATGTATGAGATTGGATGTACGATAACAGGAACAGTCTCTGACGAAGACATTATTGGAGGAAAAATTCGCAACTAGACTTCATGGACTGTGGCCTCAAAGCAAGCTACAATTCCTTCAACACATAATGAATTCAATATCATATATATTCAGAACACTTTCGATATATGCTTAAGGAGACAAGCCTAACAATTTATGTGATCGTTTCGAAATATTTAAATTCTTGTCACATAAAATGTCTCATTCATATCTTTCTTTCATAGTTCTTAGAGAAGACTTGTTAATTCCACAAGCAGTAATTTTGACCAATTTAAGCAAGCAAATTATCCTAAAAAATATTCAAAATAAGAAATATAATTATAAGATGGCTTATTATATTAACACCCCATAAATTGTTGAATAAACCCCACATACTTAATACATCCCGCATTTGCTTTTTCAATTAAAAATTATCTTAATACACCCCATATACTTCCCCATAATACCATCACACCCCACATTCTTAATATACACTCTACATTTTCTACATGCATCCCATATTTTCAATACATCCCACCTTTCTCAAATCTTATAAAGCTTTTAATTTGGACAAAACATACCGACTAAAATTTTTGACAAAAGATGCCGCTTGAGATTTAAAACATATGTGGATTGTTTTCAATTCCACTATTGAAACCCGTGTCATTTGTTTTTAATATTTGATGGTAATTTTAGGTGTTTAATTCTTCATATAATCTCTGTGATTTCTGAAAGATGAATACGAACATAGAAGCTTGAATAACGCATCAAAAACAAGATTAAATAATTATCGATGTCGTCAAAATCACTAAAACAATAAAAATACGAAGTCTTACCTCATGTGAAGCTTCAGAAACATCGATTTCGTGTTTCATCCGTCAAAAATAAATTTTCTCAATCAACATGTTTGTAATTTCATTGGTTAGGGTTTTGTTCAATAATGGAGGGTCGGAGGAGTTTTGATAGTTGAAGAAGATAAATAATACGTTAAAAGTGATTTGGGGTGTATATAGAATTTTGTTTTTTTTAAACCTAATAAGGTCAAAATTGTCATTGCATAGTAAAGTAAATAAGTTATTTAATATTAAATTTTAATGTGAGGTGCATTCAACATTTTGTGGGGTACTGATATAAAAAGCCTTATAAGATTATTCTCACTGGCCTTGAGATACATACACAAATTAGTAGAGTTTTCTTTAATAACAAAATGATCGTAACATTTATCAATTTAACTCATTAACGCTATCGATTGTTTAAAAAAAAAAAAAATGCATCTACGGCCAATGCTTGTTTAGTTGTACTTGTTCACACACGACTTATCGATTGTTAACCTAAATGTAAGTGTGTTCTCCATAATCATATATGAACATCAATTGATCACCCACACTCGCTCGTGATTGGCTGTGATTTTTTTATATACATGTATTTGTAGTGAACAAACCAAATCAGATCATTTCATTTCATGTCAAATGAAGAATCTAATGTCATGCAACATGTGATATTGATTTGATATGGTATGTTTACTCTGCCTGTGAGAAGCAGCAATCAGATCTCCTGATAAAACGACATGTCGGTTCATTCATGAACAAAAATATGATAGTCGGACGATAGCTCCTCTAATTTTTTTTAAAAAATATTTTATTATATCATAAGCTTAATTGATATGTGGTCTTTGTGGTTATATGGTAGGAAGATAGCCTTTTTTAATAAGAAAAAGAAAAAAGAAAAAATTAAGATTAAAACCCTTGGGGAGCAATTATGATTGGTCAATAAAAATACATTTTAGTACGATTTTTTTCTTCTTCTTTGTTTAGCCAATCTATCATGATAAGTAAGGTGGGATAAAGTTACTTTGCGTTGATTATTTAGGGTTTAAGGTTGCTGGCTTCGTATCAAGGCTAACCACGAGCAACAAGAAAGTGTGAGTTAGAAGATAGAAAGAAGAGGGGAGATGTATAGTTTATGGACACGAAAATACATTTTACCCCTTTATTTTGACGGAAGTTTCACTTATAGACTAAATTGTCAAATGGTCTTTCACCATAAGGATGTAAATTTTAATTTTTTGTACTGGACGAGCTATGTTCCAACTATCTTTTAATTATGAGGACCATTTGTCCAATTAAGTCTATAATATAAGAAAGTGTATTCGTATTTTTTTTTATTGACATAATTTAAGAACAGTTCGATCATGGATTATTGCCCGAAGGACTGGCTCTCAAACAAGGCCAGAGAGCCTGAGCGGGGAGGTCCAGCATGTGCTGGCGACGGAGCCTAAGCAGGCTCGATAGGAGTTGCTAGCCCGAGAGCATTAAGGCCACGTGACACAAGGCTGGCGTCAGCCACGATTTAAAACATGGGTCACTGGAACCCTCAAGGGAGAACATTGGAATATTTGGCAGAAATTCATCCCGATTCGAACTCGACTTAAAACTCCATTAAAAATTGTAATTTAATCACAAAAATGATGCTAAAATGAAAAGGAACAAGATTCTCCCACTGTGAGTGACAACCGTGGTCGAGATTGGTCACGGAGCTCGCCAGATTTTGGAAAAACGAAACATAAAGTATGCACATCGAAAAGAGCAAAATTTAACCCTTCAGCGATGAACTCGTCCAGTTAAGCTTCCAATAGGCTTAATCCACCATGAACAACACTTCAATTCAAAGATTAAAGCTTATAAATCCCAATTAAACAAAATATCAAAATTTGCGATAAACTCAGAAGTCAATTACCTGCAGTGCTTTTCTCCAGAAATTTGTAGGAAAAAACGAAATCAAATTTGGGGTTGTAAGACATAATTATAGTAGAAATTTGATTTGTGATTTCGAATTTGCAGTGCTTTCTCTCTACTTTGAGGAACAAGAAGAAAGACCTGCTGGCCTTTTGATCCAAATCAGGTGCAAAATTCGTAGCTTCCTCCTTTGAGGAAGAAAACAGGGAGAAATGGGGGAGAAAAAGATAGTGGGGAGGGAGACGGTCGGCCAGAGAAAAAAGGGAAGACAATGAGGGAGAGGGGAGTGAGAGAGTGGGAAGGAAGAAGAAAAAAAAAATGGTAGAAGTTTCGGGAGATAGGAAGATTTTCGGAAAAGATAAATTAATAATATAATACTAATTTATACAAATTAAATAATATAATATTAACTATAAATAAAAAAATACTACTAATATTTTAATGTCTATTGCCAGGGCTATTCAGTGTACGAGTGGAGATGCAAAAGACAGTTATTGTTCATTGGATGGATTAAATAGTGAATAGCACGGGGAGGCCTTTGCAACGGTGAAGTTGCTCTAAAAGCGAAGAGCAATCTATGTAAAATAGATATATTGTCACCATGACGTTTCATTCCAATTTATGACGATATAATACTGTGACAATCCGGGTTGATCGTACAATGTTGAGTGAAGTAAAACTTACACAAATCTTGTATCATTGACATAAGAAGTCGCTATTCAAATATATATGTACTATCTAAACTTCTCTCAAATAAAAGGTTAGTACTAGGGAGCTCAACTTTTTAAACCAAATTTTATAAAACATACAATGTGGTTGTTAATGATTGAATTATCATTTAAGTATCGATTAACGTGTTTATTTCTTACTAATTAACACATCATGTAATTTACAAATCTGATCTAAAAAGTTGGTCTATCTAACATTACTTCAAATAAAAACGTCTCAATCACCATTATTATACGGATTGTGCTATTCACACATCCCACACACCCGTTAACTTTTTACTAATAATCTTTATCCATTCATTCGATCCAACAATTAAAAAAAAAAAAGAAGTATTAAAAGTAAAAATAAATGCGATAACGCTTTATCATATTATAATACCTAAAATGATTATATTGCGGGTTCACAGAAAGGCAAGAAAATCCTCCAAAAGGCGGTTTTCACATCAAACCCCGTTTCTATCTCTTTCCCTGTCTGTCAAGGAGAGTCAGTTCATTTCTTCTCAGAAGAGTTAGGGTTTTGAAATGTGGAGGGAGAATGGCAATCTCTGAAGCTATCTCTCTTGTTCCCCCAGATCCCGAAACCCCCAGCACCAGCCACGCTCATTCCGACCAGGGCTTTCTGCCTTCTTCTCCCAATCCCGCTCTCGCACCCTCTGGGGTCGATCATGCGGTCCTCGACGAGAAACTGGATTTGAAAGAGGAGGGGGAGGACGATGGAGAGCCTGATGAGGTGCAGAAGCTGGATTCAATAGAGAAGGTTGAGGAGGATGAAGCTGGTGAGTTGCAGAAGGTGGATTTGAAGGCAGAGGATGAAGCTGGTGAGTTGCAGAAGGTGGATTTGAAGGCAGAGGATGAAGCTGGTGAGTTGCAGAAGGTGGATTTGAAGGCGGAGGATGGAGCTGGTGAGTTGCAGAAGGTGGAATTTTATGAAGGCGTCGAAGTTCCCCTAAATCCGACGTCTGTTCCGTCACCTGTGCGGTCCGATCGCGTTCCTGAGATCTTTGATTGGAATCGGACACTCGACCCCGCCGTTGAGATTCGGAACTTCGAACCTTCCATCGTTGATGAGATTCGGAACTTCGACCGTGCTTTCCCTTCGGATTTGAAGGCGGAGGAGGATGGAGCTGGTGAGTTCCAGAAGGTGGATTCGAAGGCGGAGGAGGGTGGAGAGGGAGTGGAGGAAGAAGAGAAGAGTTCCGGTGAGCAAGAGGTTGAGATTGTAAATGGAGAGAAAAATGAGAGGCAGAGTGAGCAGAGCGAGCAGAGCGACGGAGGAGAAGGTTGGGGAGGAAATCAGGGGTGGGAGGAGGATGGCGGTGGGGTGGAGGAGAAGAAGGCCGTGGAAACTCAGGAAAGTAACAGAAGGTATCAGTACCCAGTGAGGCCAGAAGCTGAAGACTGTTCGTATTATCTAAAGACCGGGTCTTGCAAGTTTGGATCCAATTGCAAGTTTAATCACCCTGTTAGAAGGAAACCCAACCAGGTATACCTCTTTATTTCCATTTTTCGGTTTAAAAATCGAAACTTTTTGTTTATGTTTGCCCAGCCCCTGTTAGTTTCAGCTGAAATTCTGCAGCAAAGACAATTATATGTTTGCATTTTTAGGATTGTAGCTGAAATTGGATTCTTTTTCGTTTACATACATTTTCGATGATATTTTGTTTTAAAAATGGCGATGGCGAATTCTGATTGGCTTAGGCTGTTGATTAGAACATTTCTGCTATTGGTTCCCACATTCGGTTTGCTGGTGTTTTGACTTGTTCATATTGAAGGTGCCCAAGGAAAGGGTCAAGGATAAGGACGAGTCGGCAGAGAATCCAAGCCAGACGGAATGCAAGGTTATTATTGTTGTGATTCACAGAAATTTTATATTTGAAGTTATGGTTTTTAGAGCAGTTATTTGATCAACGTGTCACAAATCGTTATATTTTGTTTTAGTTCATGTATTTGGTATCCTAGTGGTCATTGTTATGATGATGGGGTTTTCTAAGTCTGCTTATCTGAAAATTCGGTTGGCATGATTTACCGAATAAAAAAGCTAAAAACTTTTATCTTGTAGCTAATACAGAATCCTGAGATTTTGAACTTTATTTGTCTATATCGTATGGGGAGGCATGCCATCTGTTTGATTAAATTATAGCAAGTTGGTAAGTAATTAGACAATCTCCACCGGATGGGTTTTCATGAAATTGTATGCTTTTTCATGACATTCTTGTATTCCTTTATACAGTAATTCCAATTATGCTTTCGGATGTCAGTAACAATTCTTCTCTTTGTGCCTTATATCCAAATATCTGCAATGTGTACGGCAGACTAGTAACAGTTTCATGATGAGATAACACTTGAGCTTGTTGCAGTATTACTTGAGGTCGGGTGGATGTAAGTATGGGGAAAATTGCAGATACAGCCACAGCAGAGAGAAACCTTCTGTAGCTCCAGTTCTTGAGCTTAACTTTCTGGGCCTGCCAATTCGACCGGTATACACTTTATATCTAGCTTGCTAAGTTTTGAGAAATGAATATCTACTCACAATTTTTAAGATTTTATCTTTGCTTATTTTCTTGGTTTGTTGGACCTATTTATTATGTCTGTCAGTTACTGCGAATATTTATTTTTACTTGTTACAGGGTGAGAGGGAGTGTCCCTACTATATGCGAAATGGTTCCTGCAAGTATGCATCGAACTGCAGGTTTAACCACCCTGATCCTACAACTACAGGAGGATCTAATCGCCCATCTGGATATGGTAATGGTGGTCCTGCATCGTTACAAGGTGCATCACAATCAACAGTGGCACCGTGGTCTGCACCAAGGCCTTTGAATGAGGTTCCGGTTTACTCAACTTTGATGATTCCACCACCTCAAGTGGTTTCTTCTCAAAATTCAGAATGGAATGGTTATCAGGTGCTTTTATTTAACTTTCCCATATTATAGTCTCAGGTTTGAAGAACGTTGATCATTTTGATATACCAGTTTACACTTTATCAGGAATATGAGATCATGATTGTATGTTTAACTTTCTTATACTTTTCTGGCCATGCTCTTTTTATTCATTTTTAGCTTGTAAAATTAATAATTTGGTTGTGCAAATATGCCATGAATTTTGTTCTATAACCAGGACTTAATGTTCCCAATAGTTTGACAAATTGCTGTCTGCAACAGTTGTAGTAATTTATTTAGTTCATATCTCTGTGTTCACAACTCATTAATTGCCATCTATCAGTTTGTGAGGTCCCTTTTGTTAATTGGTATCCCTATTGTTTTTCGTTTTGAACTTTTAGGATCCAGCATATGTACCAGAAAGAAGCATGCCTGCACGTCCACCATACATGATGAACAAGTCAGTGGCTGAAACCAACATCTACAAGCAATATCCACACCAGAATCAGGTTGAAGAGTTCCCAGAAAGACCTGGCCAACCCTTATGCATTTATTTCTTAAGAACAGGGGATTGCAAGTTTAAATCTAATTGCAAATATCACCATCCAAAAAATCATACTGCAGTAGCCCCCACAGTCGTATTCAGTGACAAGGGCCTGCCTTTGAGACCGGTAAGTTCACCCTTCTCTGACCGTGCCTTTTATAACGAGTTCATAATTTCGGAATATGATCCTAGAAAGGTTTTCACTTTGTGATACATGAAGGTAAAACAGATGAAATACTATGTGAGGACAATTGTTCCCAGATCATAAATATTATTAACTAATTGTTCTCTTCCCTCTGTTCTAAGAGCGTCGTTTTGATCACATATTACATGATTGTACGCCATTGATCACACAAAATTTGTTTCAAAATCCAGGATCAGAACATTTGCACACATTACAGTCGCTATGGCATTTGCAAATTTGGGCCAGCTTGTAAATGTGACCACCCGTTACATATATCATCTTCAACTACATCTGGTCCTGATCATCGACTTCCTTTCAGTGATTCGGCAACTACTAACGGGGCAGGAATGGCTGGGAGCAGAAACGGAACTGATGTTACAAGCCAGCCGCAGCCGATGCAGTAAGTTATGCATGAAATGCTTGCCTAGAGCACAGGATTTGCATCACTCAAACATGTAATCCTTCTCTTTTGGTAATTTAATCTTAGAAATGTATCAAACCTCTTCACCGGACGACACAAACTTTATAGTTGTGAGATTTTAAGGGAAATGGAACCTGTAAATTATTTCTCATCTGTCAAATAACCGGAAAATACTTTAGTCGAGAATATCCTTTCAATTTCGTTGTGGCTGCCTATCCCGAGTATCGCAAATGGTTCGGTTGTTGATCTCGCTCTATAAAACTTGTGCCGGGATCTTCTGTTATGTATTGAACTTGCGGCGACGTTACGTGCATTGTCTATCTTGCATGTAACATTGGTTAAATTCGCATATACAACACCAATGTAAAAGACAAACCCATATTACAAAATAACATGTTTGTAGGTCACGGCATCTGAGTGGAGCTGTGAAGGTGATGGAGGAGAACCTAGGACAACCAAATGGAGGGTCAAGAGGGTTGACTCAACTTAGAAATAAGTTGGAAATCTCGTTTGAGAGTTTAAAACATTTTTACGGCGTGTTTACTAATTCTAAATCACAACGATTGATGAGACTAATTAGGAGTCTGAATGAGAATGAATCAAAATTTAGAGTATTATCTTCGACAATAAAATTTAGAGTATTATCACGGAGGACTGAACCTACACATAGATGTTACATTTCGATACATTATTAGTTTAAAATATCGGTACATTGTGCTTAAATTGCAACGGTGGTACAAAGTGTGTTAGGTGCATCTTGTTGAGAATGAGTCCCATATTGATGGGAGGATAGACTTTGTATGAGCTTTATAAGAGGTTGGGCTACTTCCCATGTTGCCAATTGGTTTTATAGTGGAATTTTAACTTTCTTCACATCACAGCACATCAGAAGCAATTGGCAATATGGAGAGTAGCAAAAATGAGATTATTCTCACTCATGAGCTTTTATAAGAAGTAGTTGCCAATTGTTTTTATAATGAAATCTCAACTTTCTTATAAAGCAGCAAAAATGAGCTTATTCTCACAACACAGCAAAAAACAATTGGCAATATGGGGAGTAGCAAAAATGAGATTACTCTCACTCATGAGCTTTATAAGAAGTAGCTGCCAATTGATTTTATAGTAGAATCTCAATTTTTTTATAAAGCAACAAAAATGAGCTTATTCTCACAGCACTACAGAAACAATTTTTTTTTTTCAAAGCATAACAATACCAAACCAACCTAAGTCCCTTTTCCTAAAGCAGCTTTGGAATTTAAAAACAATCCAAACATGCCTCTGAAAAAAGAAGACTTTGATTTGGCCAGTCAAAATATACTTTGATCATATGAGGTAGTTTGTTTCCTCCATAATTTAGTTGCTGGTTGCAAGTTCACAGCAAAACCTAGCAACCCAGCAATCCAGTTTCAGCTACCGTCGCCGTCGCATCCGCCGCCGCCATCAGCACAAAAACTATGCTTTCAGCGTTGCGTTTCCTCCTACCGGTGTCAGTGTCAGTGCTGGTCGCAATTTATAATTACTATAAATCCAGACAGAAATTTTCTGAAGGCGTCGAAGTTCCGCTAAATCCGACGTCTGGTCCGTCTCCTGCGACGTCCGATCTCGATCATGAAATCCTTGATTGGATTCGGACACTCGACCCCGCCGTGCTCAATAGGATTAGGAATCCCGACCCTGCCCTCCTCCATGAGATTCACCAATTCAACCCCGCCGTTGAGATTCGGAACTTCGATCCTTCCATCGTTGATAGGATTCGGAACTTGGACCCTGCTTTCCCTTCGGATTTTTCTGAAAGCGTAGACGTTCCTCAAAAGCCCCCGTCTGTTCCGTCTCCTGAGCCGTCTGTTGTTGAAATCCTTGATTGGATTGGGACACTCGGCCCCGCCGTGCTCGATGAGATTCAGCAATTCGACCCCGCCTTCCTCGATGAGGATCGGAGCTTCGATCCTTCCATCGTTGATGGGATTCCGAAATTGAGTCTGAAGAAAAAGGAGGAAAAAGCAGAAGAGGAGGAGAAGGAGAGAGAGACTGAAAGGGAAAAGGAAAATGAGAGGGAGAGAGAGAGCGAAAAGAGCGAAAGCAGCAGCGGCGGCGGTGGAGGGAATGAGAATGGTGGCGAGGTGGAGGAGGAGGTTGTTGAGGAGAGTAGCAGAAGGGATCAGTACCCATTGAGGCTTGGAGACTGTCGGTACCATCTGAGGACTGGCAATTGTAAGTTCGGATCGAATTGCAAGTATAATCACCCTCGGAGAAGGAAAAACAAGCAGGTATATCTCTCTTGTTCCGCATTTTGCATCTGCACAGGGACGAATAAAGCTATTTTTTTCACAAATGCTGAAAATAATAATTACAACATGCCTAATTTTATTATTTTATTACCTAATTTTGTTTTTAATTGTTGTATTGACAATTTGACACGTATATTCTTTATAAAGCAGGTTCTCCCCTAAAATCTTTGTCGGCGATAGTGAATTCAATCTATTCAAATGAATAATAATTAATTACAATAAATAATAATTAATCGAGTGCATTTTTATCTCGTAAAACAATTCTCTAGGTAATTGATAATTAAAAATTAATAAAAAAAAATGTGTTATTATTAATTTTATTTTTTATTTTTTATTTTCCTCTTTCTTCTTTCTTGTTCTTCGTTCTTCCTGGAAACTCTCCCCAGGCTCCCCACCACTTCCCGATCCCTCCCAAGGAGCAGTCCTCCGATCCATTTCTTCTTCTTCTTTTTTCCTGGAATTTCCACAATTTTCCACTCGAAGGCTGGGATTTGGGGATGTGAGGCGAGCAGCACGATTTGGATGCTGGGTTCTCCACGGCGACGGCGAAGGCGAAGGCTGGGTTCGCCAAACCTTCTCCAGGTTTCCCGATGGTCGTCGCAGGGGAGGGAGAAATCCGTCGGAAGGGGGTGGGAATCCGTCGGGAGAAAATAAAAAATTGATGCTGACGTCAAGTAGGCCGGGTATTGGGTCAGCCGATTTCTGCTGGGCAGCTTGCTGGCCTCCCCCGGAGCCCAGCGGATTTTTTGGGATGGACCGGGTTTTTGGGGAGGGAGGGGAAAAAATGGGCTGTTGCCCAGCTAAGAGAGGGAGGGCTGGAGTTGCTCTTAGCATCTGCGTATGTATGTTTATGTACGTTTATGCTTGAAAGATTGAGACTTTTCGTGTTTTCGTGGCTTCATCTTTCATTGTTTCAGCTGAGAACATTTCTTCTATTGCTTCCCACTTTCGATTTGTTAGTGTTTTGACTTGTTCATATTGAAGGTGCCTAAGGAAAGCGTCAAGGATAAGGACGAGTCGGCAGAGAATCCAAGCCAGACGGAATGCAAGGTTATTATTGTTGTGATTCACAGAAATTTTATATTTGACGTTCTGGTTTTTAGTGCAGTTATTTGATCAACGTCTCACAAATCGTTAAATTTTGTTTTAGTTCATGTATTTGGTATCCTAGCGGTCATTGTTATGATGGTGGGGTTTTCGGAGTCCGCTTATCTGAAAATTAGTTTGGCATGCATAACCGAAACAAAAAGCTAAAAACTTTTATCTTGTAGCTAGTGCAGAATCCTGAGATTTTGAACTTTATTTGTTTATATTGTATGGGGAGGCATTTCATCTGTTTGATTAAATTATAGCAAGTTGGTAAGTAGTTAGACAATCTCCGCCGGATGGGTTTTCATGAAATTGTATGCCTTTTTCATGACATTCTTGTATTCCTTTATACAGTAATTGCAATTATGCTTTCGGATGTCAGTAACAATTCTTCTCTTTGTGCCTTATATCCAAATATCTGCAGTGTGTACGGCAGACTAGTAACAGTTTCATGATGTTATAACACTTGAGCTTGTTGCAGTATTACTTGAGGTCGGGTGGATGTAAGTATGGGAAAAAATGCAAATACAGCCACAGCAAGGGGAAGCTTGAGCTTAACTTTCTGGGCCTGCCAATTCGACCGGTATGCACTTTATATCTAACTTGCTAAGTTTTGAGAAATGAATATCTATTCACGATTTTTAAGATTTTATCTTTTGCTTATTTTCTTGGTTTGTTGGACCTATTTATTATGTTTCTGTCAGTTACTGCGAATATTTATTTTTACTTGTTACAGGGTAAGAGGGAGTGTCTGTACTATATTCGAAATGGCTCCTGCAAGTATGCATCGAACTGCAGGTTTAACCACCCTGATCCTACAGCTACAGGAGGATCTGATCCCCCATCTGGATATGGTAATGGTGGTCCTGCATCTTTACAAGGTGCATCACAATCAACAGTGGCACCATGGTCTGCACCAAGGCCATTGAATGAGGATCCGGTTTACTCGACACTGATGATTCCACCACCTCAAGTAGTTTCTTCTCAAAATTCAGAATGGAATGGTTATCAGGTTCTTTTATTTAACTTTCCCATCTCAGAGTCTCGGGTTTGAATAACTGTGATCACTTTGATATACCAGTTAATACTTTATCAGGGATAAGAGATCACGATCATTTGTATGTTTAACTTTCTTATACTTTTCAGCCATGCTCTTTTTATTCATTTCTGGCTCATAAATTAATAATTTGCTCGTCCACATTTGCTATGAATTTTTATCTATAACCAGGACTTAAAGTTCCCAATAGTTTGACAAATTGCTGTCTGCAACAGTTATAGTAATTTGTTTAGTTCATATCTCTGCGTTCAAAACTCATCAATTGGCATCCTTATCAGTTTGTGAGGTCTCTATTGTTAATTGGCATCCCTTTTGTGTTTCGTTGTGAACTTTTAGGCTTCAGCATATGCACCAGAAAGAAGCATGCCTGCGCGTCCACCATACATGATGAACAACTCAGTGGCTGAAACCAACGTCTACAAGCAACATCCACACCAGAATCAAGTTGAAGAGTTCCCAGAAGGACCTGGCCAACCCTTATGCAGTTATTTCTTAAGAAAGGGGCATTGCAAGTTTAAATCTAATTGCAAATATCACCATCCAAAAACTCAATGCAGTAGGCCCCCCAATCGCACTCAGTGACAAGGGCCTGCCCTTGAGACCGGTAAGTTCACCCTACTCTGGCCATGCCTTTTATAACGAGTTTAATTTCAGAATATGATCCTAGAAAGGTTTCACTTTGTGATACATGAAGGTAAAACAAATGAAATACTATGTGAGGACAATTGTTCCCGCTCTATGAGAGCCTCAGTTTGATCGCATATTACATGATTGCACGCCATTGATCACACAAAATTTGTTTCAAAATCCAGGATCAGAACATTTGCACACATTACAGTCGCATGGCATTTGCAAATTTGGGCCAGCTTGTAAATTTGACCACCCGCTACATATATCATCTTCAACTACATCTGGTCCTGATCATCAACTTCCTTTCAGTGATTCGGCAACTACTAACGGGGCAGGAATGGCTGGGAGCAGAAACTGAACTGATGTTACAAGTCAGCGGCAGCCCGTGCAGTAAGTTATGCATGAAATGCTTGCCTAGAGCACAGGATTTGCATCACTCAAACATGTGTAATCTCTCTTTTGGTAATTCAATCTTAAAAATGTATCAAACCTCTTCACCGGACGACATAAACTTTATAGTTGTGAGATTTTAAGGGAAATGGAACCTGTAAATTATTTCTCATCTGTCAAATAACCGGAAAATACTGTAGTCGAGAATATCCTTTCAATTTCGTTGTGGCTGCCTATCCCGAGTATCGCAATCGGTTGTTGATCTCGCTCTATAAAACTTGTGCCGGGATCTTCTGTTATGTATCGAACTTACGGCGACGTTACGTGCATTGTCTATCTTGCATGTAACATTGGTTAAATTCGCATATACAACACCAATGTAAAAGACAAACCCATATTACAAAATAACATGTTTGTAGGTCACGGCATCTGAGTGGAGCTGTGAAGGTGATGAAGAAACTAGGACAAGCAAACCTAGGTCATACGAGTGAACCTAGGACAACCTTTGACCCCAAAAAAAAAAACCTAGGATAACCAAAATGGGGAGTAAAGAGAGTTGACTCAGCCTGAAATAACTGGGAAATTTCGTTTAAGAGTTAAAAATATTTTTACGACGCGTTTACTAATCCGGAATTGAAACGACCGATCAAACTAATCAGGAGACGAACGAGAAGGAATCAAAATTTTGAGTATTATTATAAAGGACTTAACCTACATAAATGTTATATGTCAATGCATTATTGTTTTAAGTATCGTCACATTGTAGCAATATTTTCTTAACCAGCGACTGCTTGGAAGTGTATTCGATCCATGTAAGTCGTTCTGTAATTATGAGACTTGTATATGGGCATAAACAAAGTGTGTGAGAATTTTTTATTTTTGTTTTTGAAATAGGAGAGAGGAAGAGAATGATAGAGAATATGGTAGTAGGCATTGAAAAAAACAGTAAATTTTGGTTGTGTGAAATTACATTTATACCTTATATTTCTTGTTCATGTTATATTTTAATTAGAGAGATAAATGACAATTTTATAGGATTTTAGTTAATGCTTCATTAATTAATTGAGATTCGCCACTTTTCCTAAAGCAGCTTCTAGACAAAGCAGACTTTGATTTAGGCAGTCAGAGTATACTTCGATCATTCGATCATATGAGAGAATTTGTTTAATCCCTAAATGTAGTTGCTAGTTGCAAGTTCACAGAAAAACCTGGCAACCCAGTTTCAGCTACCGTCGCCGCCGCATCCGCCGCCGCCATCAGCACAAAAATTATGTTCACAGCGGCGCGTATTGCCCTACCGGTGACAGTGTCAGTGCTGGTCGTAATTTATAAGTACTTCAGATCCGGACAGAGATCGGAATTTTCTGAAGGCGCCGAAGTTCCCCTAAATCCGACGTCTGTTCCGTCACCTGCGCCGTCCGATCTCGAGCGTGAAATCCTTGATTGGATTCGGACACTCGACCCCGCCGTGCTCAATAGGATTAGGAATCGCGACCCTGCCCTCCTCCATGAGATTCAGCAATTCGACCCCTCCGTTGAGATTCGCAACTTTGATCCTTCCATCGTTGATGAGATTCGGAACTTGGACCCTGCTTTCCCTGCGGGATTTTCTGAAAGCGTAGACGTTCCTCAAAAACCCCCGTCTGTTCCGTCTCCTGAGCCGTCCGTTGTTGAAATCCTTGATTGGATTGGGACACTCGGCCCCTCCGTGCTCGATGAGATTCAGCAATTCGACCCCGCCTTCCTCGATGAGGATCGGAGCTTCGATCCTTCCATTGTTGATGGGATTCGGAAATTGAGTTTGAAGGAAAAGGAGGAAAAAGAAGAAGAGAAGGAGAGAGAGACTGAAAAGGAAAAGGAAAATGAGAAGGGGAGAGAGAGCGAAAAGAGCGAAAGCGGCAGCGGCAGTGGAGGAGGGAATGAGAATGGTGGTGAGGTGGATAAGGAGGTTGTTGAGGAGAGTAGCAGAAGGGATCAGTACCCATTGAGGCTTGGAGACTGTTGGCACTATCTGAGGACTGGCAATTGTAAGTTCGGATCGAATTGCAAGTATAATCACCCTCAGATAACGAAAAACAAGCAGGTATATCTCCCTTGTTCCGCATTTATTTGTTAAAGATGATGTTTTTCTTTCACGTGCATCTTTGTGGTGAAATGTATCCGAAACAAATCGGGACTTTGGGCCTGCATTTAGTATTTGAGACATTAATGCATCTGGCCTCGTATGATTGCAGGAAATAATTGTGTCGTTGGTGCTCACTTTGTGTTTCTTCGTGTTTTGAACTTTATCATATTGATTTGAAGGTGTCTAAGGACAAGGCAAAGCTGAGGGAAGAGTTGGAAGAGAAGCAAGACCAGACCGAAAGCAAGGTTATTATCTATCCGAAGTTCTGGTTTTTACTGCAACTGGTTGGTTTTCATGTTTTACATCATTAAGTTTTGTTTTACTTCGCATATTTGATTTCAAGTACTATGTTGTGTTTTGACGATGGGGTTTCTCGATATGGTTATCTGAAAGCTAGTAGGTTAGAATGCACTAGTGAATATACAAGCTTAAACCTTTTTCATCTTGTAGCTAACTATAGAATGATGAGGGTCTTGAACGTGATCAACTCATAGTCGATGTGTTTCGACAGTTGTATGCTGTTACATTACAATTACATTTTCCTTTTTATACAGGATTACAATTATGTTTTTAAATGTCAATGACATTTCTTTCCCTTTGTACCCTCGTTCAAATCTGTGCAACGTACGTGGTGGCCTAGTAACAGTTTCACGATCTTAATATAACACTTGAGCTTGTTGCAGTATTACATCAGCCCAGGACGACGTATAGAGCTACCTTCTGTAGCTCCAGCTCTGGAACTTAACTTTTCGGGCCTGCCAATTCGTCCGGTATAAACTCTAGATTTGATCTGTAAAAATTTGAGGAATGAATATCTATCTATTCATGATGTTTAAGATTTAAGATTTTATCTTTGCTTATTTTCTTATTCTGTTGGACCAATTTAATGTGTCCATATGTTTGCTGAATAATTGTTTTAATGTATTACAGGGGGAGAAAGATTGTTCCTACTATATGCGAACTCTGACCTGCAAGTACGAAACAAACTGCAAGTTTAACCACCCTGATCCTACAGCTGCCGGAGAATCTCGCCCGCAATCCGCGTATGGTAATGGTAGGCCTGCATCATTACAAGGTCTGCCAAATTCTCAAGGGATTAATTCTGAAGCTACAGAATGGAATGGTTATCAGGTACTTTAGCCATCACTCCCTTATTATAGTCTTGGGTTTAAAATTTAAATAACTCTCATCACTTTTTGATATGTGAATTACCGTCTCTTTTGGGATAATAGTCAGATCTTTTTGTGTTTTGACGTCTTTTCTTTTCTTTCTCATGCCTTTTTATTCATGTTCGGCTCATAAAAATAATAATATGGTCCTACATTGAGGAATTAATGTGATATTCTATTATTATTTGTAAAGAAGTTAAATTCTTGAAATTTTGAATATTAATAAAAAAAATGTTGTCTGCATCAGTTGTGGTAATATGCTTACGTTTTCACTTCGGTACATCTAGACTACTTATTTGGGTTCCATATTAGTTTGTGGGTATAAGTAAGAATAACCCCCTTTTTTTTGTAGAATTTATAGAATTACTGCTGTTCTCGTTTGCATTTAAACATGTTTAGGCTCCAGCATATCTACCACATAGAAGCATGCCTGCACCTCCACCTGTACCATATGTTATGAACAACTCGGTGACTGAAACCAACTACTACGGACAATATGCACAGCAGATGCAAGCTGAAGAATTACCAGAACGACCTGGGCAACCTGTTTGCTTCTATTTCGCTCAAACAGGGGATTGTGCTAATAAATCTAATTGCCAATATCACCATCCAAAAAATCAGACTGCAGCGACCCCCTCATGTGCACTTAGTGACAGGGGCCTCCCTTTAAGACCAGTAAGTTCACTCTTCTTCGAACTGTTCTTTTTATGCAGAATTCGTAACTATGGATTATGATCTCAAAAAGGTTTTTCACTTTGTGATACAAGTAGCACAGAAAGTAGGTTGGTTTTTAAGTTCTAAGTTATTCTCTTTTGGGCCAATGAGTTCACCGTTTGCCAATGTGCATATTTCACCCTTGACAGCATTAATAACTAACCACTACTTGTTATTCAAACATTTTTTTTTTATTACGTGATGGAATCATTTTGGAATTGAAATCTTTTTGCAAGTTTTAGTGTACCTTGGATAATTAGCAATGTACCACGAAAATGTATATTACTGAGACTCATTTGACCTTGCGAAAGATAATTTGTAATGAAAGTTATGGATGTCCCTTTCAACATAGAAGGATTCTTAACTAACAGTTCCTCTCTTGCCTCTCCTATATGAAATACTCTGTTTGATCAGTTATTGTGCTTTGTTATTGCATGCCATCAATTGCATAAACTTTCATCCTAAATTTGTTTCCAATCCAGGGTCAGAAGATTTGCACAGAGTACAGCCACTTTGGCGTTTGCGGTTCTGGGCCAACCTGTAGATTTGACCATCCGTCATTATCAGTTTCCTTTCTGTGACTCGGAAACTGCAAATGGGGTACGATCATCTGGAAGTAGAAGTGGAACTGATGCTACAATTCCGCAACAGCCTGAGTAATATGTTTTGCACGAAATGCCAACTAGAGCAGTGGATTCTTGTCGCCAAGGACATGAAATCGCTTTGTTATTGAGTCTTGGAAATGTATCAAACCTTCTCCCCTAGCTGCCACCGGCTTTTCAGATGCTAGAACTTAATGGAAGCCGGAAATGTAAATGTTTCGTGTTTGATGTAATTTTACTGGAAAATAAAAGTTGAATTCAGTGAGTATCCTCTCAACTCTGCTTTGTGGTTATGGTCACGTCCCAATTATCTTCGATTTGCTTGTTGGATAATCCTTACCTAACAAAAGTGATTATGTTTTAACTTTTGACCTCCAAAAACAAACCCCAATTATGTTTAACTTTCTCTCAAGGGAAAACCGTTGGATGAACTTGGAACATTTTTTTAAACAATTGAGAACACACCAAGAATTAACGAGGTTTGATCGAAACGTCTGTGTTGATATTCGCTAGTGTGAAAAATATATCATAGATAAGCATATATGTGTTTAAACATATGAACAACTAAAAAACTGTCCCGTTCCATCCCGTCGCATAAACATTTGCACCAAACAATAGACGGAACAAGGGTAAGTTAGTTATTTAATATTTTGGTTTCATTCCCCATGCGCTTACCAAACGTAGAATGGAACAACCGTCCCATTCTGACACGGTCCGATCCCAGTGTCCAAAGGGCAACGAGATGGCCACGTGCTCGTTGACACCTGAGGGTGACGCAAGCTATTTAATGAATGCATATGACGAGAGGACAAGGATTGTATGCCCTCCCACTTAAGGTGCCCTAATGTGCTCTCCTGTTTTGTGTGGTTACGGTTAAGCTACGTTAACATTTTATATTATTTTTTTTATAGAGATAATAAGACAAAAATGAATAATAATATAAAATATTGACGTGACTTAACCGTGACCACAAACAGGAAGGCATGGGAGGGCAGACAATCCTTGTCCATGCCGAGAACATGTGAAACATGCATATAAATTTCGCCCGGAACCACGCAATGTAATATTCAAGTACAAACCTTAATAGAAAATATAATAATAGTTCACTGCCAACAATTTAAAAGTAATAATGCATGACAAATTCATAGCGTACTACTAATTCAAAATACGAGAGGAAGGTATATCAGAAGGTGCGATTATAAGAGATGTCCTACGTAGAGAGGAGGACACAAATTCGCTGATATGGGAATGCCTCGTAGCTTGAGTCGTATACCTCATTCCTAGGTCTTGAGGGGGTGCAAAACAAAATATGAGTGGACCAAGTTTATATATATGTAATACTAAAATAGTTATTCTTCAACGTACTAAACCCCAGTTTTAAAAACTTATATAGCATAATAAGTAATAGGTTTTCCAAAAGCCTTAGCATGCCATAAAACTTTCGTAAAACATATATCGTATATAGTGTGCTTAGTAATGGTATTTCATTCGCCCGAAGGCATATATAAGTATCATTCGCCTGAAGGCCCTTCATCACCTGTTCGAAGGCATATATAAGTATCACTCACCCCAAGGCCCTTCATCACCTGCCTACCCGAGGCCTTTCATCACTCGCCTGAAAGCATATATAAGTATCATTCGCCCGAAGGCCCTTCATTACCCGCCCGAAGGCATATATAACTATCATTCACTAAGTAAGCATAGAAAATCATGAACATAATCTTTCCAAAATATATCTCATCGGAGCTTAATAGCTCAAACATCATATCAATAAATCATATTCATAAATATCTTAGTAAACATAAATTCAATAAAGCATGATATTTCATAAAGCATAAATCCGATTTACTCATAAACATTTCATAAAACGTAGCCATAAAATCATGTTTTTCATGAATGCTTATCTAGTAATAAAATCATGTATTTTGGAAGGGGTCCACTTATAGATACTCCGTCGTTGAAGAACCATTTGAACTATAGAGGACAGGGTTGCCACTAACAAATGCACCTAAGCATATAAAGGGACCAATTAATAAAACTCTATTAAAACAATTGAATTTGAAAAAATGGAGCACAAATTTGGAATGACGACGTCTAAATTAGTTTAGGAGGGGTCCCGGTTGAAACCCGAAAATGTCAACCCAAAAGTCAATGTTGACAGTGAACAGTCAACGCTGATTGAGAAGTAAGCTGAAGCTGAGCTGAGCCGAGCCATCGGAGCTCATATCAGAAATTGGGATTTTTTGCCGGAAGTTTGGAAAATGTTCAAAGCTTCGTAACTCACTCGTTTCTTAACCAAATTCGACCCATAATATATAAAATGAAGATACGAAAGTGTCGAACAAGATTATACTTATTTAGAAGCCCAATGGTTGCCGGAAAATGACCTGAAGTGTGACTGGTTAGTGGGAAAACTGGAGAACTCGTAGGAAACTGGGTAAGCTTTAAACGTTCATAACTTCTTTAATACTCAACAACATCGAGTGATTCAGAAAAGAAAACCATACTTCTCGACCAGAGGAAGAGAATGGTACCTTTCTTGATGCCTAACTCACCGTGGTTCAGCTAGAAAATGGTTGTCTTCGTCGGAAAAAATGGGGAAGCTTTCCCCGTGAGATTCCTACATCCAAACATCACCAAATCTTCTCAAAACTACCTCTAAACATACACCAAGACACGATCTACAACTTTTGGACAAGTTTCGAGACTTACCTTCGCTAGAGAAGGTGGAAACTCGTTGAAAAACTCAGTGAACAGTGGTGAACGCTGTGCAATGAGTTTGGAAGGTCCTCTTTTGATTATGAGTTCATAGGGGTGATGGTGGTGGTATCAAGGTTGTTGTTGTGTGATTTGTTTGAGTGAAAACCCTCTAGGAGGGTTGGTTTGAGAGATGGTCGAGAGTGTAGAGAGGGAGAGAGATGAGAGAGTTTTTGAGAGAGAGAGTGAGTGTTTCAGAAAATAATAGATGGAAAAGAGAAGAGAGGGGTCACGGGGAAAAATGAAGAAAACATGTGGGCCACAAAACAAGATCACTAAAGACGAAACACGAAAATGTCTGAAAAACATGTGGGCCCTATAACTCCAAATTTGAATCCATTTGCGCCTACGCGTTCATGGTGATGAGTACAATAAGGATAAGGGTGTGATATTCACACTCCTTTTTACTTCTCACACATTTTTTTAATTTTCAATCGTCAGATTGGATGAATTGAAGAAGATTAAGAGACATAAATCAACAAGAGGTATGTAAGAAGTAAAAAGAGGTGTGTGGATAGCACATTCCTAAGAATAAACTAAGAAAATTAGTAATATGCGTCACTACGAGATGGTCAACGAAAGTCAACGTTCATGCCTCAAGGACAATTTGATAATCATACATTCAATAATATAATATACGACAAAGTAAGGATAGGGTTTCACACTATCCATCCCGTTCCGTCCTGTATGCGTGCCAAACGGCCCCTTATTTCTTAAGAACGGGGGATTGCAAGTTTAAGACCTGTTTTGGTACTGAGGTGATTCTGAGAAAAGCTGGGAGCTGTTTTTGTGTTTGGTAAACATTCAGCTTCAGTTTTTTTTCACAGTTTTGGGTGAAAAAAAGCTAAAAATAAGAAGCTGCAAAACCCAGCTTTGAAAAATCGGCTTTTTTTCACATCTGTTTTACATAAAAGTTTACCAAACACTATAATACTGTTTTTTTTTTTTTTTTCAAAAGCACTTTTACAAAAAAGTTTACCAAACACTCTGCTGCTTTATTTCACAGCCGCTTATTCTCACAGAACAGCAGAATCAGTATTTTTTTTAAAACACAGCAATACCAAACCAACCATAAATCTAATTGCAGATATCACCATCCAAAAACTCATACCGCAGTAGCCACCTCACAAAAACTCAAGTTTAAATCTAATTAATTTTTTTATTGCTAGAAAAAAAAATGGTTTTTGGTTGATTTGGTTCCACTGAGTTCGACATTCCCGACGACTTTCAGACGTTTCCCAGTGATGATCGGCCCTGCAACCACCACTATTCGAATCAGCAGACTCCTAACAACAAAATTTGAGCTTTGCATGCTTGAATCTACCCCTAAATCGAAGATTTCCATAAACCCAGCTCACGGTGGCGTTTTCCAACGAGGATCCGAGTTTTCTCCGATCGATTTCAGGCTTTCCGACATTTTTTGGGTTAGTACAAGGTGATATTCCTACTCTATACCGGCAAATTGGCTTAAGTTTTGAATTTGGTGTAAAATGGTTGGGTTTTGAAGCTAATCGGAGTCTCTGTGCTTCATATTTTTGTATTCAACTTTAACAGTCGCTGTATATTCAATATTCAACATTTTCCTCACCGACAGCAACATTTCTCATTTTGTATTATTTGTGATTGCAGTTGAGAAAACTTAACAGTCGCAACCTTCAATATGTATTTTGAAGAAGCTTTCAAATTGAAATATGTGTTGGAAGAATTCTTAAAGCTTCGTCGTGGGCAACGAAAACCCACAATTTTGGGTCCAAGGGAGGATATTTCTTTTCCGACTTCTCTTTTATTTATTAATATTTATTTTTTGTCATTTCTAAATGATTCTCACCCCTTTTTTTTTTTGCAGTTTTCTGTGGAGGTTTATTTGAACATGGGAAATCAAGAGTTGCTGCTCACAGAAAAGCTGATGCAAGGTGAGATTATGTTTTTTATTTCCGTTTTGTGATGAATTTTCTTCACGTTTTGCGATTTGATCGGAGATCTCGATATGAACCGTCGATTTTGAAGTTGTGTTTTATGAGTTTCTCTGTCTTTTCTTTTTCGTTTCGTTTTCTTCTATTTTGTTGCTTAGAAATTTGTGTTGTTTATGTAACCACAGTGGTTTCAACGATTCCCAGAGTCTCAATCAAACCCGTTGTATATTTCGGGAGAGTCTTATGCTGGAGTCTATGTGCCAACTCTTGCTTCTCAAATTGCAAAAGTTATCTATTTAGTTAATTGGTGTTTACACAATTACCACATTACACTAATTGCATATGTATATATGTATCTATTGGATTTAACTTCTGGTCTGTTTCAACTTTCTCCTGTCCATTCTGCTGCACAAAGAATGTTGAATCTTCCTTTTGAACAGAACAGATGTTACTTTCGTACCTCTAATCTATATGCATCGAACAATGTTTCTCTTATTTTTTGGTATGTAAATAGCTCTCCAATCTAGGTTAGACAATATTTTTTGCATGTACTAGCCCAGCATTTCTAATATTTTGTATGTAAATGCTGGTCCTGATTTGTTATCTAGGTTGAACAATATTTTTTGCATTTACATAGGCCAGCATTTTCCAATGCTCTATGTCTAAAAGCTGGCAAAAATGTGTAATCTAGGTCGACCAATATTTTATGCATGTACATTTGTATATCTAAACTTATCTTATTATTTTCTTCTACTATCTCTGTGTTTTTCAAGCATAGTAAACAACACAGTTTTTAATCCCGCAGCAAAGCGTGGGCATCACTTTCTAGTGAAATACTACGTGAGGACAATTGTTCCCGAATCATAAATATTATAAACTAATTGTTCTCACAAAATTTGTTTCAAAATCCAGGATCAGAACATTTGCACACATTACAGTCACCATGGCATTTGCAAATTTGGGCCAGCTTGTAAATTTGACCACCCGTTACATATATCATCTTCACCTACATCTGGTCCTGATCATCAACTTCCTTTCAGTGATTCGGCAACTACTAACGGGGCAGGAATGGCTGGGAGCAGAAACGGAACTGATGTTACAAGTCAGCCGCAGCCCGTGCTGTAAGTTATGCATGAAATGCTTGCCCAGAGCACAGGATTTGCATCACTCTAACATGTGTGATCTCTCTTTTGGTAATTCAATCTTAAAAATGTATCAAACCTCTTCACCGGACGACACAAACATTATAGTTGTGAGATTTGAAGGGAAATGGAACCTGTAAATTATTTCTCATCTACGTCATATAACCGGAAAATACTTTAGTCGAGAATATCCGTTCAATTTCGTTGTCAGCTGCCTATCCCGAGTATCGCAAATGGTTCGGTTGTTGATCTCGCTTTATAAAACCTGTGCCAGGATTTTCTGTTATGTATCGAACTTGCGGCGACGTTACGTGTATTGTCTATCTTGCATGTAACGTTGGTTAAATTTGCATATACAACACCAATGTAAAAGACAAACCCGTATTACAAAATAACGTGTTTGTTGGTAATGGCATCTGAGTGGAGCTGTGAAGGTGATGGACAACCTAGGACAAGTAAACCTAGGTCATACGAGTGAACGTAGGACAACCAAAATGGAGAGTAAACAGAGTTGACTCAACCTGAAACAAGTGGAAAATTTCGTTTGAGAGTTAAAAGTACTTTCACGATGCGTTTACTAATTCGAAATTTGAATGATTGATCAAACTAATTGGGAGACGGAATGGGAAGGAATCAAAATCTTGAGTATTATTAAGGAGTATTCAGTCTATACATAGATGTTACATATCAACTAATCATTTTAAGATATCGTTACATTGTAGCAATATTTGCTTAAACTGCGGTACTGCAAAGTGTATTTGGTCCATGTAAATTATTCTTTTATTACGAGGTTCCCCACTTTTCCTAAAGTAGCTTTGGCATTGAAAAGCAATCCAAACATGCCTCTAAACAAAGCAGACTTTGATTTAGGCAGTCAATGTATATTTTGATCATATGGGAGAGTTTGTTTCATCCATAGTGTAGTTGTTAGTTGCTAGTTCACAGCAAAAACCTAGCAACCCAGTTACAGCTACCGTCGCCGCCGCATCCGCCGCCGCCATCAGCATAAAAACTATGTATTTTTCAGCGGCGCGTATTGCCCTACCGGTGACAGTGTCAGTACTCGTCGTAATGTATAAGTACTTCAGATCCGGACGGAAATCGGAAATGTCTGAAGGCGTCGAAGTTCCCCTAAATCCGACGTCTGTTCCGTCACCTGCGCCGTCCGATCTCGAGCGTAAAATCCTTGATGGGATTCGGACACTCGACCCCGATATGCTCGATAAGATTAGGAATCTCGACCCTGCCATCCTCGATTGGATTAGGAACTTCGACCCTGCTTTCTCTTCGGAATTTTCTAAAAGCGTCAACGGTCCTCTAAATCCGCCGTCTGTTCCGTTACCTGCACCATCCGATCTCGATTCTAAATTCCTTGATTGGATTCGGAAACTCCACCCCGCCGTGCTTGATGAGCTTCTTTCTGACCCCGCCTTCCTCGATGAGATTCGGAACTTCGATCCTTCCATCGTTGATGAAATTCGGAAATTGAGTTTGAAGGGAAAGGAGGAAAAAGAAGAAGAAGAGAAGAGGAGAGAGAGTGAAAAGAAAATTGAGAAGGAGAGAGAGAGGGAAAGCAGCGGTGGCGGCGGAGGGAATGAGAACGGCGGTGAGGTGGATAAGAAGGTTGTTGAGGAGAGTAGCAGAAGGAATCAGTACCCATTGAGGCCCGAAGCTAAAGACTGTTCGTACTATCTGAAGACTGGCAACTGTAAGTTCGGATCGAATTGCAAGTTTAATCACCCTCGGATAAGGAAAAACAAGAAGGTATATCTCTCTTGTTTCGCATTTAGCATTTGCTTATGTATGTTTATGGTTGAAAGATTGAGACTTTTCGTGTTTTCGTGGCCTCAGCTTTCTTTGGTTTAGCTGAGAAATTCATGTATGCATGTGTAATAGAGTAAAGAATGTGTTAATCGGTTAGTTTATTATGCCGTGATGTGATCTCTGTCTGCGGAATTGACTCGAAATGGAGGCACATTTCATATTTGTTAAAGATGATGTTTTTCTTTCACGCGCATCTTTGTGGTGAAATTTGTCCGAGACAAATTGTGACTTTGGGCCTGCATTTAGTATTTGAGACATTAATGCATCTGGCCTGGTATGATTGCAGGAAGTATTTGTGTTGTTGGTGCTCACTTTGTGTTTCTTGGTGTTTTGAACTTTATCATATTGATTTGAAGGTGTCTAAAGACAAGGCTAAGAAGAGAGAAGAATTGGAAAAGGAGCAAGACCAGACCGAAAGCAAGGTTATTATCTATCCAAAGTTCTGGTTTTTACTGCAATTGCTTGGTTTCATGTTTTTCACCATTAAGTTTTGTTTTACTTCGCATATTTGGTTTCAAATGCACAAGTGAATATACAAGCTTAAACCTTTTTTATCTTGTAGCTAACTATAGATTTATGAGGGTCTTGAACGTGATCAACTTATAGTTGATGTGTTTTGTGTATGCTGTTACATTGCAATCAGATCTTCCTTTTTTTTATACCGGATTACTATTATGTTTTTAAATGTCAATGACGTTTCTTTCCCTTTGTATCCTCGTATTCAAATCTGTGCAACGTACGTGGTGGCCTAGTAACAGTTTCATGATCTTAATAACACTTAAGCTTGTTGCAGTACTACATCAGCCCAGGACAACGTATAGGGGTACCTTCTGTAGCTCCAGCTCTGGAACTTAACTTTTCAGGCCTGCCAATTCGTCCGGTAAGCTCTAGATTTGATCTGCAAAAATTTGAGGAATGAATAGCTATCTATTCATGGTGCTTAAGATTTAAGATTTTTTCTTTGCTTATTTTCTTATTCTGTTGTAGCTATTTAATGTGTCCATATGTTTGCTGAATAATTGTTTTAACGTATTACAGGGGGAGAAAGATTGTCCCTACTATATGCGAACTGGCACCTGCAAGTATGAAACAAACTGCAAGTTTAACCACCCTGATCCTACAGCTGCCGGAGAATCTCGCCCACAATCCACATATGGTAATGGTAGGCCTGCACCATTACAAGATCTGCCAAAATCTCAAGGGATAAATTCCGAAACTACAGAATGGAATGGTTATCAGGTACTTTAGTCATCAGTCCCTTACTAGAGTCTTGGGTTTAAATAACTCTAATCACTTTTTGATATGCGAATTACCGTATTTTTTGGGATAATAGTCGGATCTTTTTGTGTTTTGACCTTTTTCTTTTCATTCTCATGCCTTTTTATTCATGTTCGGCTCATAAAACTAATATGGTCCTACGTTAAGGACTTAATGTGATATTCTATTATTATTTGTAAGGAAGTTAAATTCTTGAAATTTCGAATATTGATAACAAATTGTTGTCTGCATCAGTCGTGGTAATATGCTTACGTTTTCATATCGGTACGTCTAGACTTCTTATTTGGGTTCCCTATTAGTTTGTGGGTACAAGTAAGAATAGCCCCTTTATTTTGTAGAATTTATAGAATTATTGCTGTTTTCGTTTGCATTTTCAAAAACATGCTTCTCTTTAATTTTGTATTGGCCAAAACATGTTTAGGCTCCAGCATATCTACCACATAGAAGCAAGCCTGCACCTCCACCTCCGCCATATGTTATGAACAACTCAGTGACTGAAATGAACTACTACGGACAATATGCACAGCAGAAGCAAGCTGAAGAATTTCCACAACGACCTGGGCAACCTGTTTGCTTTTATTTCGCTCAAACGGGGGATTGTATTAATAAATCTAATTGCCAATATCACCATCCAAAAAATCATACTCCAGCGACCCCCTCATGTACACTCAATGACAGGGGCCTCCCTTTAAGACCAGTAAGTTCACTCTTCTTCGAACTGTTCTTTTTATACAGAATTCGTAACTATGGATTATGATCTCAAAAAGGTTTTTCACTTTGTGATACAAGTAGCACAGAAAGTAGGTTAGTTATAACGAAACACTCCTGGTATTGTTTACTTTAACGAAAAAGGACATTTTTACTCTAAAAAGTCACTCCTGGTACTATTCACTTACAACACCTTTTTGTCCTTTTGATTAAAACTCAAAGTTTTTAAGCCATTTTCATTAGTTTTCCTTAATAACTAACCACCGCATGTTATACAAACATTTTTTTTTATGAAGTGATGGAATAATTTTGGAATTGAAATCCTTTTGCAAGTTTTAGTGTACCTTGGATAATTAGCAATGTACCAAGACAATGTATATTACTGAGACTAATTTGACCTTGCGAAAGATAATTTGTAGTGAAAGTTATGGACAAGTCTCTTTCAACATAGAAGGATTCTTAACTATCAGTTATTCTGCTTCGTTATCGCATGCCATCAATTACAAAAAATTTCATCCTAAATTTGTTTCCAATCCAGGGTCAGAACATTTGCACACAGTACAGCCGCTATGGCCTTTGCAGTTCCGGGCCAACCTGTAGATTTGACCATCCGTCATTATCAGGTTCCTTTCTGTGACTCGGAAACTGCAAATGGGGTACGGACATCTGGAAGTAGAAGTTAAACTGATGCCACAATTCTGCAACAGCCTAAATAATGCGTTTTGCACGAAATGCCAACTAGAGCAGTGGATTCTTGTCACCAAGGACGTGAAATCGCTTTGTTGTTGAGTCTTGGAAATGTATCAAACCTTCTCCCCTAGCTGCCACCGGCTTTTCAGATGTGAGAACTTAGTGGAAGCCGGAAATATAAATATTTCGTGTTTGATGTAATCTTACTAGAAAACAAGTTAAATTCGGGGAAATATAAATATTTCGTGTTTGCTTTGCGGTTATGGTCATTTCTCAATTATCTTCGATTTGTTTGTTGGATCATCTTACCTAACAAAAGTCATTAAATTTAACTTTTGACCTCCAAAAACAAACCCCAATTATGTTTGACTCTCAAGGGAAAACTGTTGGAATTCTCCTGAAGTTAA